CGTTGAGAAGATGAAGGCACCTGCCCGCTACCAAGCTGCTTACTGCCACGCGAGTGCCATCGCCAGTTTCATTGATCAATGGTTGTTCGGGAAGGTGGAGATGGAGGAGATGCTCGAATCTCTGGTCCTCATTGCCGATGGTCAGACTCTGTGGTACTTCCTTGTGTCTTTGTCCGCTGATTTCGAAAGAGTAGTCGATGCTTATTGGGGAACCTCAGTTGTTACTATTTGCTTAGTCACTGCTGCCCTGTCGACCGAGTTCCTCTCAGTCACAATAAATAACTTTCGAAGTTGGAGAGCGGATTGTTGGAAAATATTCTTTCACCACGTACTTAGATGTACCAGAATAGCTTTTCTGTTACTGTCTCCTACTTATATCTTTGATGATGAATCCCCGACGGATGTCGAAACGTCAGGCGAATAGACGTATTGTCCCAGCGGTCGAGTCTTCTTCTTCCTAACATGAACTGCTAGTCACCGCAAAGCCACATCGCTCGGGTCAGGCCAGTCTGAATATAGCTGGGGCTTTAGACAGGTGATTTGGATAAAACATAGTATAGGTTTAGTTGATTCCGCAGGTCGCACTCTCTTGAAAGTAAATATTGATTACTGAAAACGCTTGTCCTTCTGACCCGTTACTATTACTTTTGAGCTACTCTTTCTAGAAGGTGTCAGGAGTGCATAGTTGTTTCCCTATTTATTTTTTCTTTATTTCAAGGATGCTACGGTGTGCCTCGGGGTCTAGCGTTTTCATTTCCGGTTACAATGAACCCGTCTGGGTGTTTTGCTGCGATCGAGGACATTCCGATGGATGCTAAAAAGCAGGCGGCTATCAATATGTGTATAAAGGTGAGTTAGTCTGCTTGCGTATTCTACGATGGTTTTTAAACTTTTTCTCATTGATTCGACTAGATCAAAACGGCAAATCACATACGATTAAGATGAAAACACCTTCAAGGGCCTCGTTGTTTATGTGTTTTGTTACCTACGATGCCGTCCTGTCAGGGCAGCCAATGGTCGCGAACCATAGTTACGTCCTCTCTGCACGTTTTAAGCCAGGGCTCTTTTAATACGAGCCAATCACCCAGTAAAGCACGGTCGACCAGCCCTTTTTGGGGAAGAATGTAAGATGCGTTCACTTGCTGTACATCGAAAATCGGATACTGGCATCTGGCATTCATTGTTCTACGGCGCAAAAGTGTGCGAAGGAAGTCTCCATTTTCGGAGGGATCCGTCGTCATATTTTCTTTCTACATTGATACTATCCGTTCAACGTAAAAAGTTGTTGAATCCTTTCCTCCAGATCCCGCAAAAGGAAGAGTACAATAGTTCTGGCTTTCGTTTATCAACGTTTATCGCCCGCTACCAGAACTCACTAGTCCCGCTTCGTCTTTGCCTTAGACCTCACTTCTCGGGTCCTGACAACAGCTGTAACAGCTAGTAGTATGGGCAGGTAGTATTGTCGGCAAAGACAAAAGAGACTGGAGTGCCCATTTCTGGCTTATTAGCCGTCGCCTGCCAGTTATACCCAGCCCCAAGTGGTGAACCACTCGAGGCTCGAACTCGCGATCTCCTGATCAGAGTCGAACGCCCTAACCATTGAGGCACGAGCTCGTAGTCTTGCCGGTCTAGGTCAGGGGCTATTGACACTAGTTGATGTAGGTTCACTTGAAAGCTAACGGAACTCACCTGTCCCGCTCCG